GAGCTCAACGGATGAGAAATGTAGTTCCGGTTCCGTATTTTTCCGGTTTTGCTATGCTAGTAAATACTCCCCAGATAGCAAACATTTTGGCTTTATTTTGGTTTTATTTTGGCATAAATTGGGCATTTTGGCATCCTTCTGGCACAAAAATGTTCGAAAAAGTGTTTTGGTTTAAATGTGGCTTAATTTTGGGTTTCCATTATAGACAATTACGTCAGCGAGTGTTTCTGTTTTAACCATGGCATAATTATGGTTTGCCATAATAGAAAATTAGGCGGCTGGCGATTATGGCATATTCTGGGTAGCCAGACAAGAGCGGGACAGCGTCTGTGACTTCTGCAGGTGTGCTATGGGGTTATTTTGGCAAGCCATAAAACTCATCAAATGCCGGGAAAAATAGTGATCAAAGACCGGGAATCAGGACTAATTCGTTCATTTCTCCAGCATTACGACAGAGGTGAGTACCATTTCTTCTTGTATCCAATACTTTTGTTTACTATAGTTTTGTTTTAGGTCTGTATTGTTTGTTTTAGCAAGATGTGTATACTAGGGATGCACTGAATATTCGTCCACGTTCCGGGTTCCAGAACTAATGGCTTGGTTTCTGCTAGTAGATAGTGGCTGTGCCGCTGTTTAGCTAACGGTACAGATGCTAACTGTGGCTAACCTACAGCTAACGGAACCAGCGTATCTATATACGACCGAGTGGTTTCGCCAAAGGGTCACGCGGTTCGCTGCGGCTGCAGCAGACTGTCACGGTACCGGGCGGTAGAGGGCTGCATCGGGATTGGGTCCCGCGGGACCCAACACAAGTCTTGCGGGGGAGGGCGGTGTGAATTTTGCTGCGGGCGGGAACAGTCGGCTGGATCGGGATGAGTATGATGGAGTCAGCAACTGATGTTGAAAAGAAGCTGAAACAATTGGTCTTTATGACACAAAAACCAAAGCAAGGCAAGTCAGACATTTGGAGCAGTTTCTCCGATTGTATTAATATTTCTCATTCAGGTCTCTCTTAGAAAAGTAACCTGATCACTGCCTGATTACAGAGGAGACTAGAATATGAAACGGTGTTGTATTTTCATTAACCCTTTAAGCACCACACAGTAGCTCCTTTATGATTTTTTTAAAAAGAATTTTATAGTTTAAGTAGCGAAGAGTTATTTGAAATAACATGCGCCGAGGCGTCACCGCGGTGATCATGGTGACGCATCGGCGTTAAAGGGTTAAAAACTAAATGAAAACAAAGTGCGTCAACCCTGACCAATGTGTTAAAAGACGTGCAGGATCCGATCAATTTGTTTTTCCCTCATTTACCGTCACGGAGATAACGGCGCAGGGCCTGCCGCAATGATGTCCCCAGTCACCATGCAGGGTCTGCATGGTGACTTTTGTCTTTTTCTTTCAATAAGTTTGAGAATGCTCTATTTGAACTAAAATGTTACCTTTTTTCAGGAGAAGTTTAACTTTTAATATCTGTAAAGAATAGTACATGTTTAAAAAGCTCATAACAGTTTCTTCTAAAAAAAAAAAACAACAAAAAACTGATTTCATTTTTCTTTACTTAGAGTATCAAACATGTAAATGTGTTAACCAAAAATTCTGAGATGGCAGAAAAATCCTGTCAAGTTTTAGTTGTTTTTTTATTGTTTTACTATTTTTATATGTGTGTTTTTGCTTGGCAGTGTGACACTCAGAATTGGTGTCAAAGAAACAAGTAGAGCAATATGCCTGCCTCTAATACTAGATACACGTGTATAAAACTATTGACAAAAACTCTTCATTAGAACTACCCGCTATGGTGCTCTGTTAAACAGTTCCTATCTAGCTGTAAACAAAGCCCAATTTTACACTCCTTACACATCCAGTGAATGCTTATTTGCACAGTTTGCACCTTTTTCTCCCCTGGCTTGCTCTGTTTTTCTGTGTACAGTGTTTGTTTGCAGCATCTGATCGGATGTATCTACTCCATCCATCTCTAGAAGCAGAAGTATATCAGATATATACTATGTTTAGTATTGGCAGTAATAAAAAAATTAAAGCTGTCAAGATATTGTATCCTAATACAGGTAGTGATGCATCTACAGAGTAGAGGAACTAATATAGGATATAGGTTACTCTCTGTTTAATAATGACATTAGAAAACTTCATTAGATCTCAAATGAACTCTTTTATGTAATTGTAATTAAAGTAGCCATATTTTAAGTTGGTCCTGAACATTACCAAATGATGTTCATTTCAAAATATTGCTGACAACAATAGTTTCGTGTTGATATTTTATGAAATCTCCCAATCATGGGGGCAGGGGGGGGGGGGGGGGTTTCTAAAATATTCATAACATGGGAGAGTAATTTATTTGACCTATTTTGGTCAATTTTGACACTTTCTCATGGCTCCATTACACATCATTTCAGTACCAGCTTTGACCACAATCTTACATATGGCTCCTTTCATTATTAAACAATGAAAAGTAGGGTTGCATTTAGGCCTACATGTGGATGTTATGTAGACTATTCTAAGTGACCAATGTGTGACAGCATGAATGTTTGTCTCTAACTCTGTGTAGACCCATATAGGCTAATTATTTTCCTTTTTGTCTTTTTTCCAGCACAATGGCATATAGCCACTGGAATAATGTGCGCAAGAGAGCGGTCAAAAGAGTCAATACCTTGCTTGACTCTCTTGAGCCTGAAATGCATTACCCTGAGCTAGTTCAAGATAGTCTGGCAAATTGTAGTCACAATATGTATGATGTTGGTATGGTTGAGGAAAGCTCTAGGCCTATGTCTGATGTTGGTATGGTTGAAGAGGACTTTAGGCCGTCTACCTATGATGTTATGGCTGAGCAGGGCATTACTGAGAGTGATGAAAATTCTGATGAGGAAACTATTTCCCGTTTCAACTTGGAATCGAAGTTATCAGACTGGGCTGTGCAGTTTCATGTGTCTTTAGTTGCCCTTTCTACTCTTCTGTGTATCCTCAGAGTTTACCATCCCTTTCTACCAAAAGATGGCCGGTCCTTGTTGAAAACTAAGACACATTATGTGATAGAAAACTTAGCAGGTGGCTCATTCTATCATTTTGGAGTCTTGAATTCGCTGAAGAAGGTTTTTGAGAAATTCTCAGGGACAGTTGGAAATAAACACTTGTTTAAGTTGCAGTTAAACATGGATGGTTTGCCACTTTTTAAAAGTTCAGCCTTGCAGTTCTGGCCAGTCTTGGGCATTTTGAAAGACTACATGAAAAGACCAGTATTGATTTCATTGTTCTGTGGTGTATCCAAGCCTAAGTCTTTGCCAGCGTATCTAGGGCCTCTTGTTGATGAACTTAAGAAGATGAAGGATGGATTTCAGATAGGTGGAAAGACTTTTTTTGTGAAGGTGACTTCAGTTATTTGTGATGCTCCAGCTAGAGCTTTCATTAAATGCATTAAGTCTCACACAGGTTACTCTGGATGTGATAAATGCATTCAGTCAGGTGTTTACATTGACCATAGAATGACTTTCCCTGAAATGCATGCTGTTCTCAGAACTGATGAGTCTTTTAGGGCTTGTAGTGATGAAGATCACCACCTTGGGCACTCACCCTTAACTGAAATTAATGTCGGCATGGTGAGTGGTTTTCCGCATGACTATATGCATTTGGTGTGTCTTGGTGTTGTGCGAAAACTTTTAGATTTGTGGATGGGTACTGTAGGACCACTTCGGTGTCGTCTTTCTTCTGTTCAGTGCGGACTCATATCTGACAAATTGGTCAGTTTGAGAGCCTTCATCCCTACAGAGTTTGCTAGAAAACCAAGAGCGCTGACAGAGAGATTGAGGTGGAAGGCTACTGAACTGAGACAGTTTCTGTTGTATACAGGTCCAGTTGTTCTGAGGGGTGTGCTGTTAGATGAGGTTTATAACAACTTTATGTTGCTTTCAGTTGCCATTCATATTTTAGCTAGTCCCACCTCATGTCTTGTCTTAAATGATTTTGCTCATACGTTACTGGTTTCATTTGTGGAGCATTTCAGCAAGCTATATGGACCTCAGTTTGTGGTGTATAATATACATGGTTTAGTTCACCTAAGTGAAGATGTCATGGTTCATGGGAGCTTAGATTTATTTTCTGGATTCCCTTTTGAAAACTTTTTACAAATGCTGAAGAAAATGGTTAGAAAACCGCACAATCCTTTGGCCCAAGTAATCAGACGGGTTTCTGAATATAGCATAGATGAAAACATTTGTGAAAAGTCAGGGACCTATGCCAAAGGGCAGCACAGAGAGGGACCTCTTTGTCACCTAATGGACAGCACTGTTAAACAGTTTAAACAGTTGGTTATTGATGGTATGGTTATCAAAACCTCATGTGGTGATAACTGCCTTAGAATTAATGGTGAAGTTGTTTTGGTGCAAAACATAATTCTGTGTGAAGGGTTATATTATGCAATCTGTAATTACTACATGAAAAAAGAGAATTTCTTTTGTTATCCAGTGGAGTCATCTGAAGTAGATGTACTTGTTGTTTCAGGTCTGTCACCTGTTGTTAAAAGTATAAGACTTGATGGGGATGTAAAAAAGTGTGTCAGACTTCCACTTCAGAATAGGGACAGTTTTGTTGTTTTTCCTCTGTTGCACCTTAATGGTTTGTAAACGTCACCTTGTGAAGTCGAATGGATAAAACATTGCAATGATTTGACTTTCCAAAATGAGTTGAAGTTGTGGCCTTTCATTGATGTCTTCATAAATCAGTTATGTTGTGAATCAGTTGTTAATCAGTTATTAATCAGTTTCTAATCAGTTGTGAATCAGTTCAGTTCATATTCACCTAGCCTACAGTTTTGATCAGTTTGCATACCCCTGCAAAATATTTGGTTTCTTGGCCATTATTCGGTGAGTATGAATGATAACACAAAAATGTTTATTTTAATCGTAGTAGGTTGGGTGAGGCCATTAATTATCAAACAACTGTCATTGATGTTATAGGTAGGCATGTAAACTTATGAGCACAAATGAAACTGTATGAGAACCTGTTCACACAATGCAAAAACAAAATTATTTGTTTCTAAATTGCAGAAAATGTATCACATAGTATTTTTTGAAGAGACTGCAGAGGTGGAGGTGGTTCCTGCCCTGTGGGTAAGGGATGGCACCTGCCTGTGGCCGCCTTATAAAACCGAGGCAATCCAGCGGGCAGTCCGGAACAGGGAGGAACCGGGCAGCTCCTGGATTGCCTACAATGCTAGGGTGCTCTACTCAGCAAGTATGTGTAAAACACTTCAGTACTACACAGATAATTAATAAAATGACACAATATGAAAATTTACTCTGTTCTGAACACAGATGACTTTAATGAGGCGAGGAGGAAGCTCCCTCTTGCTGAGGAGCAGACAGACCTCCAGTCTGAGGCGGAAGCCATTGAAAGGCCTCAAAGAAGAAGAGTTAAGTAAGAATTTTGTGAACTTTCCATTCCTCCACCTCTTGGGCCTGTGTTGAATTTGCACTCATTAACTTAAAATAAATGTTTAATTCCGAAAAAAATTTGTATTGTGTGTTCATTTCCAAAGGCCAAGTAGATATGTCCAGGACCAGGCCTCATCAGAGGATGAAGCCCAGACCCCTGGAAGAGGGCTTCCCCCACCCCCAGCCATCCCCCCGGTGAGGAGAAGGTTCATCCTCCCCAATAACGGGCCGCTAGTGGAGGTACCACCTGTACCTCAGCTTGACCTAACCAATTACCAGGTAATGGAAATCTCAACAAATACCACAGTAACATATGTATAGCAAATGGGTTTGAGTGTAGCTGATCATGTAAGTGTGGTGTTTCAAATGTGATACAATAGGAAATTTACAAAGGTTAATGAGGCAGTTACTTGGAGAAAAATGCTTCTGGAGCCATTACGTCACTGTTGAGGTCGATAATTGCATTTTGTAAACTGTTGTTCTTCTTCCTCTCCCTCTTCTACACACTCTTCCAGCATGTCATGACCCTGGGGACATCACTGCGGCAGGCCATTGACCTGCAGGGTCACCAGGGAACCCAGGGGGTTCCAGTTCCAACTCCCTCATCATCTGGTGGGATGATGAGGGAGGAATCGGCTGTCCAGGTGCCTACTGTTTGCCCCAACTCCTCTCCAGGGCAGTGGCAACAGAAGGACAACACGACTTGTAAGGTTTTTATGGTTTACACTCACCCAGTCCTCACATGCCAGTTACAGTATACGAACACACATGATCCACACATACATACTAATATAAGATGGTTTATAAAGCTAAACACACACACACACAACATGTAAATGCAAAAAATGCTTAAACTATATTGTTTCTTTGTGTCTGAAATGCTTTTCAGCTCTCCTGCATGAAGTCCTGGTGAAACAGGAAATAATCCTGCAGCAGCAGCGCGGCCTCACCAAAATGGTGCAGGACCTTTTTGTTGCCGTTGCTGCTCTTCAGGGCCTGACCACGGGGGGAAGTGTGGAGACCAGGCACCACAGCATCTTCCCCTTGGCAGATGTTCAGGCCCTGATGGCCCTGGAGAGGGAGCTTGGACTAAATGCAACACATTGGCCCATGAATTGGTGAGCTTTTTCTGTTCTTTACAACAATGTTTTGGACAATGCATTTTGGCATGCACATCCAATTTATGTGTTGTTCAATGTCTTAAAGTGGGGACTGCTTGTGTGGCCAACAAGCTCCACCCAATTATTTGCCCCCCCCCCCCCCCCCCCCCCCCCCCCCACACACACACACACACACATTTCAGATCTCTGCCCTTCATCAGGCAACCATGAAACGCCAAATAAATAAATAGTGGAGCACAATGGCTATCCAGGCTTTTCTTTAAGTTTGTATAATATTTGTTTGAAAATTCAATGAACATCAATCTTTGTTTGTTTGAAAAATTAATGAAGATCAATTTTTCTAATTTTAGAGTTCAACACTCGGCCTTGCGGGGGGGTCCACAGTAAAGGACACTGTGTGGCGGGTCCTTAAAGGAGCCATGACTAATGCCCTCGCCAAGGGAATTACTTGGCGAGGGCAAAATGGGAAGGTAGCCTTTGAGAGGCTCCACCTAAAAGGCATTGTAATTGGTAAGTTTAATCACAACAGTAACACGACTGTTCTATCACACAGCTGATAAAATTATAGTTTAGGATAAAATTATTAGCCACCCATGACAATCACATTTCTTTTCAAAGTCAAAATACTTATAGTCTTAACAACTTGTTTGCGAAATGGCACGCATGGCCTGTGAATGTCACAAGCCTCGAAATTATAACACCACGCTATCGCTGGCTTCAAGACAGCTATTGCCACTTTGCCCACAATGTGACGCGTTCTTCAGGGTGAACTCTCGCTCGTGAAATTCTTGTTTGGTTTTAGTGTCAGGAAAGAACCGCTGGTTTGTGTTTGGTAAACTGTGTTTGGTATACTGTGGCAGTGTAAGTACTAAGTGACTATGACAATTTAATGTTGTAACTTTGGCTGTCACTTTCAACCCCAGATGATGAGATGCATCCATTAACTAATGCAAAACTGACTTTTTAACTAGCCAGTTACTTAGCCCACCACAGGTTTCTTTTGCATGGACTGTTGCGTCGTCCTTTTTTAAGTCTTTCTCCATTTGTATGCCTTTATTTTCAGCTGCAGTGAGAAGGAATCCAGTCTGTGTGGCGTCTACGGAGGCAGAAATTGTAAATACAATTAAAAAATGGTTCTACTGGGCTGGGGATAGGGACGGAGGGCGCAAAAGGAGAATGCCCACCCAACCAACCCCTCAACCAGCCCAGGACTCAGTCCAGGACTGACTTTTAAAAAAAATCAAATAAAATATTTAAATGTTACTCTTGTTTGGTTTTATGTTTATGCATCTCGTACACATAGTAACCTAGGCTATTTCACAAGGCTATTTAACTGAGGCACAAAATCTGAATCTTCTGTACAAGGACATTTTATAGTCTATTAAAATGTTAAATAAAATTTAGCATAAGGTTCAGAATAAAATACAATGTTTTGGTAAATGTATGGCTAATTATGGATAAGTTATGGTTCATATTTGGCTTTATTGTGGGATTTTGGGATGGTTATGGCTATGCTTTGGAAAGCCACATTTTATTTTGGGTAATCTTTTGGCAAACTTATGGTTACACTTTGATATCCTTTGGCCATTTTGTGGCGTTTTGGGGTTCTTTTGGTATAGTTATGGTTGTGCTTTGGAATTCCACAATTTATTTTGGAAGAATTCTGGCAACCTTTTGACAGTCCATAATTCTATTTTGGCGTGCCTTATTTGGGCCATATTTGGCCCATCATTCCACCCAAAAGAGTACCAAACTGGCATGCCAAACTAGTGCCAAAAATTATTCTGGCAACCTTTTGACAGTCCATAATTCTATTTTGGCGTGCCTTATTTGGGCCATATTTGGCCCATCATTCCACCCAAAAGAGTACCAAACTGGCATGCCAAACTAGTGCCAAAAATTATTTTGGCAACCTTTTGACAATCCATAATTCTATTTTGGCGTGCCTTATTTGGGCCATATTTGGGCCATCATTCCATCCAAAAGAGTACCAAGACTGGCTTGCCAAACTAGGGCCAAAAAGAATTTGCTATCTGGGTCCGTTATGAGCGATTCTGTTGAAAAAGTGGAGTTTGTAAGGCATGGGTTACGGCGACAGTAGCCCGAAAATAACACTCATAAATGAACAACCAGAGACTCTGAGTCATTACAGTATAATCGTTGATATGAGCCAATACTGTTAGATTCCAGCCATGTTTGCCCTAATAACTAACAACTCCACGGCGCATGACCCATGTGATCTTCAGTAGATGCAATTACATCATCATAAATTTAGCTTAACATGATAGTTTTTTTTTTCTGGACAAAAAATATACGATATGGCCCACCTCTAGATGACATTTAAATAATTTTACATTAATTATAAATATATAATTAAAAAGTGCCTGTGGGGCATTTGATACACCTCTAGCTCTCAGCTGTGTGTGTAACAAGACAACTGTACCAGAGAATAGGCACTAAGGTTAAAGTTTGACAAGAATCAATACATTTTTATGCATTTAATCTACTGATTTATGTTTATAATTTCTCTAGACAGTTTGAAGTGAGTTAACTTGTAAATATTTTACAGGGGGAAAAATATTGAGGTATATATTGTATATCGGAATTCAACTACAAGATAACGAGATATAAGTTTTGGTCCATATCGCACAGCCCTATCAAAGCTTCGTTAAATGTGCGCTCCACCATCTGAACACGTTACTGAAGCACCATGTGGTGATCTAAATGCTGTAGGGGAAAATAGAGAAACCAGCAAAGACAGAAACTATTGTAAAAGGCTGAAACGGTCCAAAGTTTGAGATCAAGAGTTAAACTACAAGCATAATTGCTAATGTTAAGCTAGCGAGTAGCATTCTCACGAGCAAGTGTGATTTAAAAAAAAAAAACAGGATGGTTGTGAACGGCTAAAAGCCAAAGATAAATCCCCACCATCCCGTTTATTCATGGATCTCTGTAGCGGTGTGGGGCTGAGCCGCTGCAGCTACCGTCAGGTAGTTGCTACGAGTCTGCTCCAACTATGGCAAGCCGTTGTAACATATAATTCACTAACACTTCAGTAAAAAAAGTAATCGAGGAATTTAATGAATCGAACCATTCGAATCATTCAATGATTCGTTCCAGCCCTACCCCAACAAACATTGGTCCGACTCTGACGTGCTGTCCACGTCCAAAAATGGTCGTGGTAGGACGGCCCGAATTTGTAAAAATAATATAACAGAACATGTCTTAAAAATCCATTCAGATATATTTGTACATGCCTACAGTTGTATGTATAATTGTTATTTTGACAATTAGTTACATGTAGTTCAACATAGCATCCCAGCAAATATTGGTCCGACGGCAACGTCGTGTCCACGGCCAAAAATAGTCATGGTAGGACCCTACAAAACATTGGTCCGGCGGTGACGTGGTGTCCATGTCAAAAATGGTCGCGGTAGGACGGTCCAAATAAAAAAAAAATTTAACATAACATTTCCGAAAATTCCAGTCAGATTTGTAGTTACATGTATAATTGTTACGTTGACAATAACGTACGTATAGTTGAAAGCATGGCATGCCATGAATTAGTTGTAAGTAAAAAATCTACTATTTGTCACATCATAAATCTCAACAGGATAGCTCAACTGGTTAGTCATCTGACTTACACTCTTGAGGACTTGGGTTTGAGTCCAGGCTGGGATAAGTCAATCGGTAAGGTGAGGTAGGACACAGGAAATATTATATTTATTATTATTAGTTAGTGTAAAAACTACATTTTATTTTACAGTGTAGATGAGATGTACACTGACAGTCATTAAACGTCCAAATGAGACGTGCCAAAAGACGTGTAATTCATGTCCAGAAAAGACGTCGGTTCAACTTTCATTTTGGAACTATTTTTAAACCATGACGGGACGTGTCGGCCCGACATCTTTTCAACGTTGATTAAACGTCCGAATGTTTGCTGGGACTTTACTCGACACCAAAATAGCATGAGGTGATGAGTAAACAGCGTGGGGTAACCTGTATGCTCCACAGGAACACAACTCAGTACAAAAGTGGTGTTACTGGACATTCAGCTCAGTTTTATGGCAGAAGGGCAGAAAGGTCCACGAACGTCTGGCTGCCTAGAAGGTAACTCTTGCTGAGTTTTATGCTGACCTGCACGTGTCTTAACTGGAAATATGATTGTTATTCTGTTTATATTTTTCAAACGATATTCTACCAAACTGCTGTTTAAATGTCTTAATGAGCACAGCCCGTTTCTGGTCTAGCTGGTCTAGCGAGTGTGTGTGTGTGTGTGTGTGGGGGGGGGGGGGGGGGGGGGGGGTCCTGGCCAGGTGACAGTGAATGCTGGAGCTGGGCCATTTAGTAGCAGAGGAAAAGGAAGAAAGAGGAGCAGGCAGACGGGAAAGAGGAAATGGCAAGGAGACAGAGTTCTGAAGGAGTCAACAACAACAGAAGTGAGGAGGGCAAAACGGAGCAGCAGGGAGTCAAGGATGGAGCCGAGACAATGTGGAGCGAGAAGAAGAAGAGGTTAAAGGCGGCTGAGAGCAGGTGAGATGAAGTGAGATAAAAACAACAAAGAGCCAGGTTTCCTAACCTAACCCCCACCCCCATGCTGTTACCAACAGGACAGCCTAAAACTGGACCCTGGCTCCGACTCAGAAGCGTTGAAACCACTTTATATCCTTTATTCAGCTCCTAAAAGATTCACTCAGAACATTTATTTTATAAATAGTTTTAGGTGAAATGCTCCTGATTTAACAGCTAATGCAAACCCGCTGAACCTGCAGCTGACACGCAACTGACAGACATCAGAGTCTCTGAAAACCATTTATCACCCTTCTGTTAAATAGTTCTGAATCAGTAGATAAAGTCTGGCATCCATCTCCTCACAGACTTTCATCTAGAGTCTAGAGCAGGAAAACCAAACGAGTGCTGAGGAGTCCTCGACCTGAAACCCACAGCCTGACTGTTTTTTCCTCTTTGACCGGCCTTTTCTGTTTCCATTGTTCTGTATCTCTGTCTTCATCTTCCCCTCGTTTGGATTCAGGACTTTGGTCCAAACAGAACCAGGGGGAGCCCCAGTCTGGCGGACTCTGATTTAAACTGAGCTATAATGTTTGGCCTTCGGTTGTGTTTTGTTGCAGGGTGAACTCTGATGATGGGAGGTAATAAATTCAGACCTGAGCAGACGTATGTGCCAAAGTTAATTTAGGCTCTGATAATCGTCACAAGCAGCAGGAAGAGGTGCCAGAAAAGCACCATAACCTAACCCTGACCCTGACAGGGAAACTCCACATCCATCCCTTCATCTGAACAAAGGGATGACCAACAAGAAAAAGATGCAGCGTTACTGAAGAGGACTTCTGCTGGAAGCTTCGTCCCATCAGACGCTTTTAATCCAGAGAATGGCTTGTATTTGATATAGTTCCTTCTAGGGTTCTCCAACCCCCCAAAGCACTTTACAACATATAGAGTCATTCACTCATGCACACACACATTCACACCCTGGTGGTGATAAACTACATAGTAGCCACTGCTGCCCTGGGACCAAGGGGCCAGCTCATTCTCTCAGGTTGGAGATCAGCAGGACATTGGCTACACGCTAACCCAAAGCTAACGGAGATTTACCGGGCATTTTTAGCTAAACAGGGAAGAGTGACGGCATTGGATTCATTTTACCACGTTAGCAAGTAGCTACTGTCCCACTGATCTCCGTCTCCGTCCATGGAGAACGAGCTGATCTAGAAGGCCAGGGTTCCCGGTTGCAGCGCTCTGGCTCTGATGGTAAATTAACAGTCCCAGTCCATAATAGAGCTCCACAGGCGACCAGCATGACTACAGCCTCAAGCCAGTCGCTCATGTGAGCGGGCTACTTCTTAGCTTCTTGGGTTGGCTAAGTTAGCTAGTACCTACATTGGTTTCATTAGATCCAACCCTGTCCCAAAAGTGACAGCTGAGCTGGTGAGGACTCATAAGCCTGATGCCAACCCTGGACCCCGTGAAACGCTGAGTCAGCAAACCTGTTGATGTGCTATTGATAGCTGCTTCTCTTGCATGTTCACCACCCGTCTCCTCATCAACAGACATTCATCATCTCTTATCCCAATGGCACCAGATTATCTAATCTTCTCCACAAAATTATCAGTCCATCTGCACCAGATCATCAATCCCTTCTGCACCAGATCATCAATCCCTTCTGCACCTGAGCTGCAAAACGTTGTTTAATGGAGTCAGTAGCAGCAGGAAAGCCAACACTGCGGATGTGATGAAACCACCAGTATGTCTTTGGTGATCAGAACCACACCCGGACTGTTCTGGTCTGTGGCGAAGCAGAGGCTGGTGTCTAAACCACCACAGATTAAGTCAGACTTCAGCAGAGACAGAGATTAGAAAATAAACACCCAGCTGGTAAAAATGGCTAATGGTTTGTGTTTAGCACCTTCTTAGGTTTCTACACACACATTCACACACACATTCACACACTGGTGATGATAAGCTACGATGTAGCCGAAGCTGCCCTGGGGCGCGCTGACAGAGGCGAGGCCTGCTGAACACTGGCACCACCAGTTCCTCTGACCACTTTAAAACTGAAGCTGCTGAACTTTTTTATTATGTCTGTTGTTTGTGGCACAAAGTAAATTAGTCAGAGTGGAAATAATAAAAAGCAGTTTTGTTCTTAAGTTGTTTCTTAGCAAGGTGATTACTGGGTTTGCTGTCAACATAATTAGTAAGAGGTTTAACTCATCAAAATAAGAGCATCTTCAGGTATTTAATTGATATTTTATATGAGACCTTCCTGATTATGATGTTCAAAACATGCAGAAATAACATTTTAAATGATCTGTGTGTTTAATGGTGATGAAACCAGATTACTTTTATTGTGCGTGTGTGTGCGTGTGTGTGTGTGTGTGTGTGTGTGTGTGTGTGTGTGTGTGTGTGTGTGTGTGTGTGTGTGTGTGTGTGTGTGTGTGTGTGTGTGTGTGTGTGTGTGTGTGTGTGTGTGTGTACGTGCCCATGCACGTGTGTGATTGTGTGTTAGTGCTGACATAGTGAAAACAGCACCAGACACGTGTGACTTTAACAAGGAGAGTAGGAAGTACATATGGGAGACCCGATAAAACAAAAGCTTGTTTGTAAATCTGAAAATGACTAAATCATTTTAACAGTTTTTCATTTTATTTTATTTTATTACTCAGCAGCGAAATAAAAAGTCGGAAATAAAAGAAAACACGAGTTGAAGTAAAACTAAAACACGAAACAAAAATAATCTGCTTCTCCACTGCAGCAAATACACAAAATGTTTATACCTGATTTTAAACACCTGGAGTCTAGCAGCCAACCAATCAGCTTCAGCTAAAACTCATCGGGATCATTTGAGCCAAACCTGCAGCGGTGAATCACACAACTTATCAGGGTCATGAACACAGCTACGGTAGAACACACACACACACACACACACACACACACACACACACACACACACACACACACACACACACACACACACACACAGTCTGTTATTTATCTCGTGTGTTTGAGCGTTTAAGTCTTTGGAGTTCCAGTCTAAGGACCTGCTTGGTTCTGGTTCCGATCCACTGGACGAACACAGTTAACGTCTTGATTAAGACGTGAACTGTGCCTCTGACAGCTGAGCTTGGAAAGTGTTTGTTGTGGTGATGAAAACGAGCTGAAACCAGCACAGATGTTGGGCCATGCTGCCCCCCCACACCATCTGTACACTAGTCCCCAGCCTTAAAACAGCTCCCAGTCAGTGTGACGAGCTGGTTTCAGCTTACACAACAACAACATCATGGTGTTATTGGGAAAATGCCGCAGCGGTTTGAACGTTCCAACAGAAATCAAGACTCAGATTAAACAGATGTAATCTCCAGCAGGGGAAGGCTCATCAAGAAGAACCTAAAGGTCTGAGCAGGCTGCTGCAATCACCAAGCTGATTGACCTGAACAGACAACCTGGTTCTGCTCGATGCAGGTCAGAGGTCAAAATCACACTCAGCTCTGGAGGTGGAAAAAAATTTTCCTTTAAAATAAGCTTTCTGCACGATGCGGTAGACCTGATCTGATCCTCGTTCTCGCTCAGCTCTGCACTGATGTGGTTAGTTTGAATGATTTCAGTTTGTTAAAGATGAAAATCCGATTAGCTTAGCATGAAAAATTAGTTTGGAAGATCTGTTACAGCTAGTGTGCCTGAGCCCTCAGTGACGGTGCCGTCAGGGACCGGGAACAACTGCTTTTAGATAAGAATTCCGTTCCATCAGTGAGGCTGATCCGGCTGAACGTCGCCGATTCGGGTCACCGGATGAATCTGTTTGTGCGTCTCTAAATGCATTTTGCACAAAAATTGGGCTAACGCAACAAGTCTGAATAAAGCAAATGAGCTTGAAACGTAAGATTCCAGAAGTTAAATGTTAGACCTACTAATGCTAATTTGAACGATGCATTTACAGACCAAAGGCGGAAAAGTAATTGGATAATTGAGTTTCACATTAAGGCCTCCAGTCGCCAGCTGATTTTTGGGTGCATCTCCGTGAAAAGCGTCCGTTTTTTGGCAGATTTTATGCAACTTGCAGTAAAAGTTAGACTTCCCCCTGCCTTCCTTCTAGTGGTTTCCTGTAAATCTGCAGTAAAGTTTTATGGGAGGAAACCACAGCTTCCATGTTAGTCATGTTTACAGGAGACCTTAAACACATCAAGTAGGGCCCTTGAGCTCAGCAGATAAATAAATAAAAAGCCATAATAACGATTTCATGATGAATGCGTTTGATTTTACTTTGCGCCTAATTGATGTAAATGAAGACAAAACGCGCACCTGACACAAGTTTTCTTACAGTTATGTCGCTTTTGAGCGCAGCAGCAGCAGCAGATCAGACCAACTCTGATGATCTTACCGTTTCTTCTCCTTGTCTGCCGTCATGTTGGAACTCCGACAGTCTGAGTTAAGTCCAACTTCAGAAGGTTGTCAGTGGCTTTTAGGCCAATGTGCGCAGTCCCAGCGGGTTATTTAGTCCGTGGATCCGGTCCGGAGGGGGTTCGGGGACGTACGGTCTCAGAACACTGCCGAGGATCGTACAGCCTCTCACCCTGCACAGGAAGCGCTCCGCGCAGGCTCAAGTGGCGCTCAGCTCCCGCTCACAAACGCCCGCAAATCCGCCAGTGGGAAAACTCCCCGTTCTCTGAGACCAGAAGCGGTCAGGAGGGTTCGGGCTCTGACCTGAACGTCAGTTGGCCCGGTGACAGCAGTCCCAGGGAGCTGATTGGCTCCGGTGGCCGCCTGAAGCCACCCCCTCACGGCGAATCATCTCCACCCCCGAACTGAGAGCTCCCACCTGTACCTGGATGTGGCGGGGCGTGGCCACGGGTCTGCACACCTTTTACACGTCAGGTTACTACATGATGGAAAACTAGTATCTTAATAGGCTCTCATGTATTGTATATTTTCTATTTTCTCGTGCGCGCGCGCGCGTGTGTGCACATCTTCACCAGAATTGTTACATGCTTCTCTGATCATTTCTAATTCTCACCACAAAACCAAAACATTAATAAATATGTAATAACTCCTGTTAGTTACACTGTCAGCGATGACAGGAGCAATTGTCTCAACAGATACTAAAACTGTTTGATTTTATCCTTCTACCATTAACCTTCTCAGGCTCAACATAAGTTTTGATAAAAGGACGAACAACTAAGTCCTTCAGGGGTACTTCTGAGTTTAAAAATGCTCATGAAATACATATGTGGAGTAACTAGGTAGGTAGGTTTTAACGTTGCAAATCTGCAACGTCTGCCTCCAGAGGGTTGATATCGACTGATATCAGAATTTAAATGAAATATCAAAAAATGCTGGCATCAGTTTTACATACACTTATAAAACTTTTCAGCTACTTCTCCTCTGTCTCAAAACGTAAAAATAAACCGATCTGAGTTAAAGATTTTGACATATTTTTGTTTATTTGTAACAACTTGTGAAGTAGAAATTAGCCCAGTGTAGTGAACGTGTGATAAATGATAAATGGCCCATACTTGTATAGTGCCTTTCAGAGTAAGGACTTCAAAGTGCTTTACACTACAGTGTATCATTCACACACACACATTCACACACTGATGGTGATGAGCAATGATGTAGCCACAGCTGCCCTGGGGCGCACTGACAGAGACGAGGCTGCCGAGCACTGGCGCCACCGGTCTCTCCGACCACCACCAGCAGGTAAGGTGGATTAAGTGTCGTGCCCAAGGACACAAAAGCAGAATTATCTGTCCGGAGCTGGGATTGAACCTGCAATCTCACAGCACATAGCGTGAAGCTAGCCAGCTAACAAACAATAAAAACAAAAACAAAATTCTTTACTGAAGGCTTGCTTTTCTTATCTGAAGATCTTTATAAATAGTTTATCACTGTAACAGAACAATTATTAACTAATACACACATTTTAACGTCCCACTTGAATTAGATGCAGCTGCTGTGGGAGACTATATAAAAATGTTACTTTTCCTGTTAGTAACTATTATTTTGTCTTGGTTTAAAATCCTATCTTTACTATTATTGTGTTTATTTATGTTTGATACTTTAAGTGGGAGAAAACAAACTCAGTTTGGTGATGTGCACATATGATAACAGTAAACAGTTCCTTATTCATATATGTATGAACTGTTCATGACTTTTAGAAGAAGAAACAATCTTTTATATGCGCCTCTCAAGATAAAATCACAGGGTGCTTCACAAGAACCAAAAATAAACAAAGATTTTTAAAATGATTCAAATATATACTAAAATAGGAAAGTAAAAATTGTAAATAAAAAAATATGAGGAAAGGAAAACTAAACTGAGTTAGAACGAAGTATCACTGGATCGTGGGAAAGGAGTTGGTAGAAAGAGCAGAATAAGGAGAGGGTGTTGAAGGTCACACAAAAGCCAGCTTGAACAGGTGAGTCTTCAGCTGCTTTTTAAAGGAGACCACTGAGTCCACTGATCTCAGGCTCAGGGGGAGAGAGGTCCAGAGTCTGGGGGCCACAGCAGCAAATGATCTGTCATCTTTGGTCTTTAGCCTGGTGCTGCACAACCAGTAGGCTTTGATCACTGGACCTCAGGGACCTGCTGGGGGTTTAGGGACTAAGAAGATCACCAATGTAAGATGGTGCTTGTCCATGTAAGGCCCTATAGACCAGAACCAGGATCTTGAAATGAACCCTGAAGTTGACTGGCAGCCAGTGAAGCTGGAGGAGAAGCGGGGTGATGTGGGTGTGTTTGGAGGACTTGGTCAGAAGCCGAGCACAGGCATTCTGAACCACCTGTAGACGGTTCAGGGAGGTTCTGCTCAGACAGGACTCATTCATACATCTGAACTGTCCCTTTACTCTGATAAGGGTCAGATTATTAGTTTGTCTAAAATTCTATCTCAGTTAAAGGAAAATCATCCTACTGGATTCCCATCTCACCCTTGGTTGTGGCTTGGTTGCGGTCCTGCCCCAAGTGGAGGAATTTAAGTATCTCTGGGTCTTGTTCACGAGTAAGGGAAAGCTGGAGTGTGAGATCGATAGGCGTTGTCCCAGTCTGCCATGGTAGAGTGCTGAGCCGGAAGGTGAAGCTCTTGATTTACTAATCGATCTACGTTCCTACCCTTACCTATGGACATGAGCTTTGGGTAGTGACCGAAAGAACGAGATTGCAGGTACAAGCGGCCTAAATGAGTTTTCTCCGCTGGGTGGCTGGGCTTTTCCTTAGAAATAGTTTGAGAAGCTAGGTCATCTGTTAGGAGCTCGGAGTAGACCCGCTGTTCCTCCACGTCGAGAGGAGCCAGTTGAGGTGGCTCGGGCGTTTGGTTAGGATGCCTCCTAGACGCCTCCCTGTGAGGCTTTCCGGGCACATCCAACTGGGAGGAGACCCAAGGTAGACCCAGGACATGCTGGAGGGACTGTCTCTCGACTGGCCAGGGAACACCTTGAAATTCCCCTGGAAGAGCTGGCCCAAGTAGCTGGGGAGAGGGAAGTCTGGGCTTCTTGGCTTAGGCTGCTCCCCTCGCGACCCGACTATGGATAAGCATTTGAAAATGGATGGAAATATACATCCACCCATTTACTTCTGCTTATCTGGAGTTGGGTCACGGTGGCAGTAGCCTAAGGATATCACTCATTTTGTAAATATATAAACCGTAAATCCTCTAATACAGGCCCGGGCCTGTATTTGACTCAAGCTCATCAAGCTCCAGGCCTTTATTGGAAGGAGGACCAGAATTAGAGGCAGGCCTCTATTTCTATTTGAGCAAAATGAACTAATGGTTCGCTGGAGTTTTTGACAATTAAAATTGCGCCCACATTTTCAAAGTTAAACACATTTCTTTTAACAACGGTAGTTTCTGCTTCAGCCCTCTCCCCCCTCCCCCTGCGCAGCGGCCGCAAACTCACTGATGCGCCTGCAGCCTCTCAGAGTTCCTGCTGCTCTAAACATTACAATAATTATTTCATTTTCTGTTCCTCACTTCTGATTACCTTCAATGGTGTCTGTTTGTTGCAACCACCAGGTACAAAAACTAACTTGTTTTTATTTGACTATTTTTCTGTCCTGTATCTGTTTATTATCTTCCTGCATCTCCTCTCAATCCTAAAAAAAACTGCTACTTGGGTTCATATATATTCACCTTATGAGTTACCTTTGAACTGCAGTTCTAAAAGATCTACCGACCGCAAAATCAACGGAGTGCTCGCTGCTTGGCAGCCGCATCAGTGATCGGTGCGTCACCGGAGAACAAGGTGATGCGCCCCTCTCCACAGCAGCGAAACGCATCAGGCGCAAATAAAAGACAGAAAACATTAAACAAAATGAGCCGACATGAACGATTGCGTGTAAAAATTAGTTTTTGAGATGGCGACACCTGATTTGATAATGTTACTGTGGCCGTGCTCAGGACGCAGATGTCTGGAGCGTGTCAACGATCAGAGCTTTGCATGCGCAAGCTGGTTAAGGTTAGGATGGGGTGAGGGGAAGGTTAAATTGCAAGAGGGAAAAGGTCACAATTTGGTTAAATGTCCGTTTTACGGCGGGTGTCAGTACTGACGCTCTGGCACAGCGCGTTGCCCCCCGACGTGCAGGAGCTTGTCACCTGCTGACAGCAGGCTGCTGTCTTTTCCGAGGACTGCATCTTGCCGGTCATTATCACGTGACAGCGACTAGTCGATGACAGGCATAAAAAGTCACTATAGTGAAGTCGACTAGTTCATACAAGCCTATTGCTCCCAAGTGTTCTGCAGCATAATCAGCACGTTCTCTTTGAACTTGATATCAAATTTTCGCCTCCTCTTCGTCTCCGCACCTGCCAAATCGCGGTCTGTCACTGGCAAATCAAAAGTGAGACGGATGACACCTCTGCCCGGGAATATGACAGCCCCCACCCCACCCCCCACCCCCACGGACTCCCCCTGGCGTCCCAGCACCGGATCTGGAGGCCTCAAAGTCTGAGATCATTGAGGGGTCCTCGATGTAGGACCGGGGAATCCAGGAGCATTCTTCCGGGCCGTATCCCTCCCAGTCCACCAAATATTGAAGACCCCGACCACGGGGGCGGGAGTCGAGGGTGTGCCGAACCTTGTATACCAGCCCCCCTTTGTAGAGCTGAGCAGGAGGAGGCGGAGCCGGAACTGGGCACAGAGGGCTGGAAACAACGGGCTTAACCAGGGAGACATGGAACATGGGATGGATCCGACGAGATGAAGGGAGTTCCAACCGCACGGTCGTCGGGCTAGGGACCGCCGCCACATTGAAGGGACCAAGGAATCTAGGAGAGAACTTCCTGGTGGTTGCCTTTAGCGGGATATCCTTGGATGACAGCCAGACCATTTGACCGGGAGAGTAGGTGGGAGCTGGACGACGGTGTCGGTCAGCCTGTCGCTGATTCCTCTCCGCGTTCCGCTGAAGAGCCGATCTTGTGGCGATCCAGGTGAGACGGGCCCAACGAAGGAACTGAGGAGTGGTGATGGTGGTATCTGTATGAAGGGGGAACAGAGAGGGCTGATGTCCAAGGGAGGACTCGAAGGGAGACTGACCTGTGGCAGAGGAGACATGGCTATTATGGGCATACTCGACCCAAGCCAAGTGCTCACTCCAGGTGGACGGGTTGGTGGCACAGACGCAGCGAAGCATGGCGCCCAGCTCTTGATTCATCCGCTCGCATTGTCCGTTGGTCTATGGATGAAACCCCGAGGTCAGAGCCACCTGGGCTCCCAAGGCGGTGGCGAACTCCCTCCAGACACGAGACACAAACTGGGGACCACGGTCAGAGAGGATCTCTGTTGGGATCCCGTGCAGACCAAAGACATGTTTAATTAAAAGCTGGGCCGTAACAGCAGAAGTAGGGAGGGCCTTTAACGGCACCAGATGACAGGCCTTGGAGAACCTGTCCACCACAGTTAAAATGACACTAAAACCATGCGAAGGTGGCAACCCATAAACAAAGTCCAAGGCGATATGGGACCAAGGACGGAACGGCACTGGTAGGGGACAGAGTAGGCCTGCAGGAGCCTGATTAGTACCTTTTTCCTGGGCACAGACGTGGCAGGCCAACACATACTCCTTCACGTCTCTGTATAGGGAGGGCCACCAGAAAGATCGCCTGATCAGAGCCACTGTACGTCCCACTCCGGGGTGGATTGAAAACCTCCCGGTATGAGCCCAGTGAATAACTTTTCCTCGTAGTTCCTGGGGAACAAACAGTCTGTTGGAGGGTCTGTTACCTGGGCCAGGATCCACCTTAAGAGCCTCCAGGACCTGGTCTCTTATAGGCCAGGTTACTCCAGCAACAATGCAGGAGATAGGCAGGATGGTGCTGGGAGCCGTCTCGTCTTCAGAGGCGTACTGGCGAGACAGAGCGTCAGGCTTCGTGTTCTTTGACCCCGGTCTATAGGATAAAACAAAGTTAAAGCGGGAAAAGAACAGAGACCACCTGTACTGTCGTGGGTTCAGTCTTTTTACCTCCTTGAGATAGATCAGGTTCTTGTGATCAGTCCAAATGATGAATGGTAGTTCAGCCCCCTCCAGCCAATGTCTCCACTCCTCTAAAGCCAGCTTTACGGCCAGTAACTCCCTGTCCCCCACATCATACCTGCTCTCAGTGGGTGTTAAGCGCAGTGAGAAAAAGGCACACGGATGAAGTTTGTGGTCCTCCGGAGATACCTGGGAGAGAACTGCACTAACCCCGGTGTCAGAGGCATCCACCTCCATGGTGAACTGCTGCTTGGGGTCTGGTCTGGAGAGGACTGGAGCCTCTGTGAACTTCCTCTTCAGTGTCCTAAATGCGGCTTCGGCTTCTGGAGACCAAAAAAAAAAGGCTTGACAACTGAGGTTAGGGGTGTCAAAGGGGTTGCGGTCTGGCTATAATTGCAGATAGACCATCTGTAAAAGTTTGCAAAGCCAAGGAACTGCTGCAGGTGTTTCCTGGTGGTAGGGGTAGGCCACTCCGTCACTGCTTGGACCTTATCTGGGTCCGCCCTCAGCCGTCCACTCTCTAAAACAAACCCAAGAAACTTAACTACAGAAACATGAAATTCACATTTCTCGGCTTTTACAAATAGTCTATTCTCCAACAGCCGTTGGAGTACCATCCGAACATGTTTCTTGTGTTGAGCTATGGACCTAGAGAAAATCAAAATATCATCAAGATACACAGTTACAAAATAATTAATGTAGTACCCCAACACTGAGTTCACAAGTCTCTGAAACACCGCTGGAGCATTAGTGAGACCAAAAGGCATCACCAAATATTCAAAATGCCCCAGGGGTGTCTTAAAAGCAGTCTTCCATTCGTCACCTTGGTGGACCCTGACCAGGTGATACGCATTGCGAAGATCCAACCACGTAAAAACGGTGGCATCTTGTACAGGTTCGAAGGTAGACCAAAGTAGAGGAAGCGGGTACTTGTCCTTTACTGTTATTTGATTTAAACCCCTGTAGTCTATACAAGGGCGAAGCAACCCATCTTTTTTGGCCACAAAGAAAAACCCAGCTCCCAGAGGTGAGGTGGATGGCCTGATTATGCCATTGGCCAAGGCCTCGGCAATGTACTCCCTCATACTGTCCTGTTCAGGCTTGGACAGACTGTAGAGGCGGCTGGTTGGGAGGGGAGCTCCTGGCAACAGGTCAATTCCAATGTCAAATGGACGGTGAGGTGGTAACGTGGCTGCTTGATCTCTGCTAAACACTTGCTGCAAGTCGTGGTACTCACTTGGCACCTAGGTGAGATCGGGCGGCTCCCTAAGTGTCTTTTCAGAGTCCTTCGATCCAGATGAAGTAGAGGTTAAGCAGGTTAGATGACACCCCGGACTCCAGTCTCGAAACGGCTAGATCTCCAGTCCAAACACGGGTTGTGTACCCTAAGCGAGGAATGGCCTAGTACTACTTGGTTCTGCGGGGAGGGAAACACAAATAAAGAGATCATCTCCGTGTGGTTACCTGAGACCTGGAGCTGGAGTGGTTCGGTCCGGAGGGTGATTGTGGACAGAGGCCTCCCGTCCAGGGAGGACACCATTAATGGTTCCGGCAGTGGAACAGTAGATAATCCCCAATCCCACACCAGTTGCAGGTCCACCAATGACTGTTCACATCCTGAGTCCACTAGAGCAGTCGTCTGGTAGTGACGACTGTTAACAGTCAAAGTACAGTCAATAAGAAAATGGGAGGTTTCTTTACCTGAATGACTGCCCACCAGAACTCCCGGATCTACTGGTGGGCACGCCCTTTTGACGCCGCAGGGCAGGTATGCACCATGTGCCCTGGTTTTCCACAGTAAAGGCACAACCCTTTACTGAAGCGATGACGGCGCTCCTCAGGAGTAAGATGTGTACGTCCCACCTGCATTGGCTCCTCGGGGGAGTCCAGAGGAGGGGACCTATGGGATGGACGATGTTCTGGTGGTGGTGACAGATCCCTGGACGATGTCTTCAGAAGCTCCCTATGTCTCTTGTCGATAGAGATGCATGATGTGATCAATCCGTTCAGAGTTGATGGTTCGGAGCACAGAGCCAGCTGGTTCTTCACCCGATCGTTCAAAGCCTCGATGAAGGTCACTTTGAGGGCATCCTCTCCCCATGACGTCATCGCAGCCAAGGTCCTAAACTCCAGAGACATGTCAGCCACTGACCTTCTTCCCTGTGAAAGGTGCAACAGTCTTTTTCTGATGTCAGTGGTGGTCTCGGAACTGCAAAAAGTTAGTTTAAATTCCTCCAGAAAGTCTGGGTAGGAACTGGACAGGAAATTGGGATTTCTACTCTTGGCCTCCGCCCACCTAAGTGCCTTGCCTCTAAGAAGTCCAACAATAAAAGAGATCTTCATTGAGTCAGTAGGAAAAGACTTCGGGGAGTCTTCAAACGCTAGGCGGCACTGCAGCAAAAACCCAAAGCAATCCTCGAACTCACTGGAGAAAGTCGGGCATTGCCGAGGAGGAGCCGAACGGAAGTGGGTGATTTCTGGAGAGCCAAGTGCTTCCGGTCCGGGTGAAACCATTCCTCCGGAGGCGTGTGCGCGTGGTTCTGTTTCGAATGCCGGAGCGGCGGCTGTCGCTGGAGCGGGGATGGAACCCGAGGCTGAAGAGGAGAGCAGCTCCTGGAGCTGCTGCAGGACAGTCTCCAATTGTTGATAATGTTGGTTGGTGATATTTATTTTCTCCATGAGGACGGGAAGTGTCTGCTCTTGTTGGGACATCCGGGTAGCCAGATTCACGAGAGCTGATTCTGCTGGGTTAGATGTGTGGCCAGATGATTCTGTCATGAATCGAGGTAAGTGCCTAACCCAAGACATGCAGAATCATCACACGTAGTCCAAAGCAGTAAAGTAAAATGTCTTTATTATAATCACGGTAACTGAAACCGCACAGGGAAGTCCTGTGGGGATGAGCTATACGGCTCGAGTCTCTGAGGTGCTCAGAATAATCAGGAGAGGAGGGGAAGCCGGGAAGGACACTGGGCAGAGGGTGAGAGGTCCAGGAGGGGCGAGGTAGCAGAGGTAAAGCCAAACAGGAACGGCAGAGGAGGATGGGATGTGATGAGTATATTCCAGAAAACGAAGACAGCGAGAGTGAGAGATGATGAGAAGATCCTGAGCGAGACAAAAACAGACGTAAGGGATAATCCAAATGCAAATCCAAAATACAATCCAAGGTCATAAATCCACTAGTCGAAGGCGTGTCAAAAACACGAGTTTACAAGATCAAAGTTCAGAGTCGAGTGGCTGGTGCTACCTAAACTGGTGCAATCATCCGGCAAGGTGAAATGTCTCCATCTTCCTTTTTAAACCCGCGTTCCTGATCTGGGAATCACCTGCAGCTGTTGCTCCCTCTGCTCCTCACCTGTGGAGAATTAACTCAGACTCTGGTGAGAGGTGATGGTGTGACTCACCTCTGCCCAGGAACATGACAGTGTGTTTATGGTCCCTGAACAAGTAAATAAGCCTATAATCTTCTGATTAAACATGAAGGTCACTTTGAGGGCATCCTCTCCCCATAACGTCATCGCATATCAGATTATATTTCATATTTGTATGGAATGTCACATCTTATTGGTCATAATTAATATGTTTTAATTGCTACATGAGAGAGTTACATATATGAGTGTCACAGCAAAGGGTCTGAATACTTCGGACCATGTGATATTGAAAAGGAAATTGCTTAGTCAATCACCTGACCTGAATGGCACTAAATTAGTCTCAGAGAACAAAGTAAGGAACCTTGGTGTTATTTTTGACCTGGGCATGTCATTCAAATCCCAGGTTAATCAAGTATGTAGGATTTCCTTTTTCCACCTTTGGAAAATTGCTAAGATTAGAAGCATCCTTTCCAGGAGTGATGGTGAAAAACTAGTTCATGCATTTATTACATCAAGACTGGATTACTGTAATTCTTTACTCTCAGGAAGTCCACAGAATGTAGTTAAAAGTCTTCAGCTTGTCCAAAATGCTGCAGCTAGAGTTCTGATGAGAATTAAAAAGAGAGATCATATCTCTCCTGTCTTAGCTTCCCTACATTGGCTACCTGTTAAATTCAGAAAAGATTTTAAGATCCTTCTTCTCACATATAAAGCTCTTAATAATCAAGCTCCATCATACATCAGTGATCTGATTGTTCCATACATTCCTAACTGAGCACTTCGCTCTCAGACTGCAGGTTTACTGGTGGTTCCCAGAATATCTAAAATTAGGATGGGAGGCAGATCTTTTAGTTATCAGGTTCCTCTCCTGTGGAACCAGCTCCCAGCCTTAGTCTGTGAGGCAGACACCTTGTCTACTTTTAAGAATAGGCTTAAAACATTTTTATTTGATAGGGGCTATGGTTATGAAAAAATGATAATAATTGATTTTAGCAAATGGCTTCAATATAACATAGAGTGAAAGAACTGACGGGGATCTGAATACTGTCCTCAAGTATAAAAGTGAATAACCAGGATTCACTTCAACAGGATCTGCAGACTGATAATTTCCCTTAGAGACGCTCAGAGAACAGAGTCAACCCTGATGCAGCTGCACAGTTTCAGCAGTAAGCATTCACGACTTCATGTACCACAATGTTACATGATTTTGGTTTAAAGAATAAAACTAGACATTAGAATCCATGAATAACAGTGAAACCAGTGTAGGCCTGATAGGATCAGTGCTGCTCAGGAGTTGGAGTGGGTTGTCCAGTAATCAGAAGGTTGCAGGTTCAATCCCGGCTCCCCCTTGGGCAAGACACTCAACCCACCTTGCCTGCTGGTGGTTGTCGGAGGGACCGGTGGCGTCAGCGCCCCAGGGCAGCTGCGGTTACATTGCAGCTCATCACCATCAGTGTGTGAATGTGTGTGTAGCCACAGCTGCCCTGGAGCGCAACCGGTCCCTCCGACAACCACCAGCAGGCAAGGTGGGTTGAGTGTCTTGCCCAAGGACACAACAGCAGCAATCTCAGGTCAGAGCAGGGATCAAACCTGCAACCTTCCGAACCTGCTGTACCTCCTGAGCTACTGCTGTCCTAAGGTGTTGGACATTAACGATGTTTTATGGTTCTGGTTATAAAATAGATTTATTTCATATAGATGTAATCTATAATGAACTTTTTGTGATTAAATGTTTGTATTGTAACAGTTTTTGAGAATAAATGTTTGTTTCTGTTGCTCTGTCTTGCAAGCCCTACAGCAGCTTGGGTCTTTTCAGCATTTAGATTATCTTCTTATTGCCCTTGTGCTGAAAATGCATTGCTGTGTTTGGGATCGGCAGCTTCAGCTGTTGGAAAAATGGACTTGCGTTTGACTCTATAGCTGTCACGGTTGGAGGTGAGTGAAAACACCTGACCCTCATTCTGTTTGAGTGCAGATGGGTGGAACCGGAGAGCAACGAGCCATCTGCTACTCATCAGCAGACTTCTTAAGGAGCAGGGAGACGCACATCAGCGCTGGATGATTACTCAATCTTGGTAGAGCTACCTGAGTGTCACAAGCCTTTTTAATCTTTGACTATTGTCTCCCGAGCTTCGTTCCGAGTAACCTCACCCTGCTTCTCCCTCTCCTTCAGGTCAATCCTCCACTTTCAGAACCTGCCATAAGACACGGATCCACGCCTGTCTCCCCGCTCCAGCCTCTTCTGACCAGCCAGCTCTCTGCCGCCTCCGCACCCTCCCCCCTCTCAGGACTCCGAGGATTCGCCCTGTCGCGCGCTCCTCCTGCCACTCACCAGCCAACCGGACCCTCCTCTCTCCTCTTCTCTCCTCCCTACCCAGAACGCTGGGCCCCAGGATTTCTGGACTATAAAGAACTGAGCTAAGCTCCAAATCGTCACCTACCTTAACGGTTCTCCTTTAGTTAAGATAATAAATATTTTGTTTTTTTCTAACCCATCCTCTTGACTCTGAAGTTGATTCTGTATGTCTTGGGTCAGACGGTTAACCCCTAACATGACAATAGCTGTTTTTACAGGACAAGAGCATTTGCAAAACGGGATTTGCCACGGCTCCCTGGGGAGGACAAAGGTTGTTTATAAGATCAGACCGTGGCGGTAACATGGCACAATCATGGCAATTTTATAAAAGATTAGGCGATGGCGGCATAAAGGGTGTATGGGGGCGGTCTCTGCACTGCCGCAGACTTCCGTTGATCTTGGACATAACTTGCTTTTTATTGCGAATGAAACCGTGATCGTTAAGTTTTTTTAACAAGCAGCTCCTAAAGGTGTCTGTCACCATCAGTCCCTGTGCAGTCTCTGGTGATCTGAGCTTCAGCTCCAACAGAGAGGCTCATGGAGCGCTGCTTTGCTCCAGTTTTTCATCTCAGCTGTTTTTGTTCAAAAAGCAAACCTTATTGCCCGTGTTTACTTTCATTTTCAACAAACTTGCCAGCCGGAGCTCAGCAATAACTCCCCACGTCATCATGACATCTGCCTCTGTTGCGCCAGTGCGCATACGACAGACCATTACAGCAAGATTACTACCAAGCAAGGCGGAACGAATGCCTCAAAATTTGCGCAATGCCATGCTGGCATGGCGCGTTTATAGACATACCATTGCGGTAATATTACGCCGATTTGCCGGCATGGTGTGTCTTATAAAAAGGGCTTAGGACACTGGTATTTGGAGGAGTTTAAGGTGGATCTGCTGAGTCCCGTGGCTGCAGAACAATCATAAACCTTCAGAAATTAGATATTTGCTGACACCCTGAGCTTGGTTTTGTCTAAGCTTCTTTGCATTGTGGGTAAACCTATTGACTTTGGTCCTGACGTTTCTGAAGTCTTGTGGTTCATCCAGGTGAAACTTCTACCTGAGCTGAGTGGCCATGCTTTACATAAAGGAGGCTTTCACTTGCAGTCTGTCCAAACAAGACAAACATGTTTAGGATTGTCCTAGATCATTCTCTTGTCAACGTTAGCATTTCATCTGAGCCCGAGGTGGAGCGCTTGTTTTTTTCCTTATGTCATTTCTCTGAGCCTTGACCTCTGACCCCAGAGTGAATTCACATGAAAGTTCAGCAGCCGTCTTAACTGAGTTCTACTTGTGACAAAACTGTTGAACAGTGGACCCAAAATTGTTTAGAAATGACCTTTAACCCTTCCCAGATTGATGAGCAGAAGCTCGCCATAATCACTTCTGACGATCTTGTGTTAACAGACACTCGTATGCTCTGGAGAAAACAGATTTTAATAAAGCTTTACAGCCCGGATGAAACTTGTCTCTTCATTAGGATTTTTAAAGAGAATATAATGGGACTAGGTTACGTTGTTTTCTCCAGGCCGATAGGGGCGCAGGTTTGCACAGCAAAGCAGGTCACGTTTGTGACATGGTGTGAGGTGAGCTCCTGCTGCTATTTACCTTAGGATTGTTTCCAGGAGGGAGGTGCTCATGAGTGGGACCAGATAGAGCACTTCAGCCTGTTTATTAGGTGGAGTGAGACAGCCACTCAATGCCGGTTGATAGCTCTACACGGTATAATCTTGTTGGGTCCACTAGCCTCTGAGAAACAGCAGCAGCAAAGAGCGAGTTACAACAATCAAGTCGAGATAGACTCAAGGTTCACACTATGTGGCTGGTGGTCATTTGAGTGAACACCACAAGCTCTGTGTTGTTGTCGTTAAAGCACAAAAGGGTTGCCCTTGTAAACATCAGTGTTTACCTGCTGCCACACACCTGACTTAAATGAATGATTGCAGCACTTGATTTCTTCGTGAGGAGGCGAAGTAAATCAGGTGTGCTGAAGCAGAGACATGGAAAGCATGCAGGTCAGTGTGCCCCAAGGACCAGGGTTGGGAAACACCCTTGACCTATTGCTACATATATCTGACAATCATCAGTGTAGAGGTGAAAATTTGTTCTGTGGTTCAGAAACAGCATTCCAAGAGGGAGCAGGTACAGAGAGAATACTAACGGGCCCAGCACAGATGCCTGTGGGTCCCCCCCGTTTCAATGATGTATCTGCTAATGAATATGTGCCCATGGCCACTGAAAAGGACCTTTCTGACAGATACAACCTCATCCACTGCAAAGCCGTTCCAGACATTCCCACCAACCTTTCAAGGCAATCCAGCAGGATTTGGTGGCCGACTGTGTCAGAAGCCACTGTTACATCCAACAGCATCAATATCACACCAGATCCAACGCCAAATACATCATTCAGTATCTTTAAGAGCAATGTTCCAGTGCCATGACCAGGGCGAAACCCGGATTGCAGAGGCTCAAAGATATTGTGATCACTCAAAAAGGAAGATAATTGCTGATGTACCACCTTCTCCAATATTTTTGCACAGAAAGGGAGATTGGAGAACACCAGAACTTTTTCAGATGGACAAGATCACTGAAGAGTTGAGGTGACAGGTTTACAATCTAGTACACAAAAATATGTAAGCAGATGATAATAAACACAAAGAGGAATCCTTGCTCTGCCATATTTATATTTATTTCATTTCACAACAAAACATACACTTTCACATGTTTTAAAGTACAGTACATTTGACACAAAGCACAAACAAAAGAAAAACAAACACACATGAAATGTGTGGAGACACAAAACCACAGGTCAGGTTAAAAAACTTCATAAAAACAGTACAAAGAAACCCAAATGTTTCTGCCACAATGTTCTGCATCAGGCCTGAGGACAGAGGAGGACTTTCAGCATCAGAATCTCGTGTCTCTCGTGTCCCCATGTGAGGATCAGTGAACTTGTTACATGGAGGATGTTTTGGTTGGAAACATGGACTTCAGGGACACTGTGTCCTCTCTGGGCTGTAGAGGGACAAACAACTTCACATTTTAAGATTTTAAACTAAACAAAGACACAAAGGGTGGCGTGAGAAAAGGGGATGAGAAGCTGAAAGTGATAGGCAGGATCAGCGTTCTGTTTATACTGCTAGGTTTTATGCTACAGTTACAAAGTTACCATGAATATGTGGAGCTGTGATGGCCTACAGCTCCTGTGTCTTTAGAGGGATAATTAAGCCATTCTGACATGTGTTTTTGAGTAAGGTTATAAATAGCTCCTAGCCAACCTGTTAGCTAGCTTCCTGAACAGCCTCTGTTCATAAAAATAGTTTATATGTTTCTGGACTGACGCCCTAATAGCTAGTCTCAGTGAAAACTAGAGTAGGTGCTTGCTCATTTTGATAAACACATGATGTGAAATGCACTTCAGAATGGCCAAATTATTCCCATAAAATAACCACACAAGAGGCCGGTGCACTGATTGGCTCATGTAGCACCTAGCCTGGGCTGCCAGACTCCTCTGTTTAATTCTGCACAGAGGAAAGGTCTGGGAACTCTCCTATTCAAATAACCCCACCCTCTCAGAATTCTAACAGAGCCAATCAGCGCTGAGCAGCGTACGTCACACACCATAACGCAGAGTTGGTCATAAACATGGCGACTGAAGCGGAGTTTACTGCGGCTCTTTTCTCTGTTCTAAATGACTTGAATGTCTTTAAAACCACAACAAGTAGAAGTGCTAAAAGCATTTCTTCTTAAAAAAAATGATGTTAGCGCCGTTGCCAGATGCCATTTTTGACTATAGCTAAAATACTACAGCACCGCGCGATACAGTTGGCATTTCCACCTATTTTCTAACTGGTTATTTTTGAGGAGGCTGGTCCTGCCCCTCATGTGCCTCTCTGCCTGTGAGTAACCAGACTCTCTCTGGGCAGAATTAAACAGAGGGGGAGTCTGGCAGGCCAGGCTAGCAATGGCCGGTTCACAATGAAAAATCATTGTGTTGATTTTTGACCCAATTCTCACATTCTGTCTATTTGTATGCCCCTGATTTCCATAACGGCTCTAAGAATTACCTTATCAGATAATCCTGCTGTGTGTGGTGTGCTAAGTGTCCTCTGGTCTGCTCAGAAGCATGCCCAGAACGTTTCAATCACAAATATGAACCAAACTACATGTCTCTTTAAAAATAACTTTTTCTGGAAATAATGAATAGGGCAGTAATAAATGTGCTTCAGTGCCAATGCGCTGACACCATTATCCTAAATACTACAGGAGATGTTTTCTTGACTCTTTCTCTAGCCAGTGATATGGAAAAAAAACTCCTGAAGTGCCTTCTGACTTCACATATTTAATACAAAGATTATGTTTATACAGCACAGTGGGTGTGGGGGGGGCATCTAACATCAAATCCATAGACAGCCAACCCAGTGAAAACAACTCAGCAGCAAGACAAACAAAATGACGATTTAACCCGGTGAGTGCATGAAAAGTGCTCTGTTTATGCAAACACACACACACACACACACACACACACACACACACACACACACACACACACACACACACACACACACACACACACACACACACACACACACACACACACACACACAGCAAATGCATTCGGTCAAAAACATTCCCTGTTGCTTAAGATGACCCACAAGCCTCCAGGTGAATTCAGTTCGTTGACTTTGCAGATCCAGTTAGCTAACAGATCACAGTTACTGCACAAATACATCACATGGAAACAGAGGCCTCAAATGTGTTTAAGGAGCTGACCTGGTGTCTGAAATACAAAGCAGAATCAACACACTCAGCAAGCCTTCTGCTTATCTGGTTAAACAAACGTTGAGCTTATCAGTTTTGGTTCTTTAACTCTGGATGTTACTGTTTGACGGGTTTTGAAACTTCATTATTAGTATATTTAATGATATATTAATTAGTATAATAATATGAATTAGAATCTCAGAACTGGAGGCTGTTAGTCACTGAAAATCAGCCCTGTGATTCAAAAAAACTGTTTCTCATAGAGCTGTGGAGACAAATCATAATTGGAAAGAACAGTCTCAGAACGTATTCAAATCTCACAATTTGGGGGCACATCCAGGATGTGCAAAAATGATTCTAGAATTGTAAAATCTTGTCAAGCTTGACTTTTAACTCATTCACTGCCATTGATGACTAAAGTCGTCATTTTAGACCCAACTGTTCACTGCCATTAGTCGTCATTTGCATTTATTATTATTATATATTTTTTGCTGTTTGGGCATCGGAATGAGCCCCCTCGCTGAGAGAACAAACATCTCAGTTCTGAAGCCGATCTTCATCCGCATACGTCACATGACCAGGAAGCAGAAAATCCATGTGTTAGGACATTTTTTTTGGGCCGTTCCTGTAAAAAAAAAACTGAGGAGCGAACCGGAAAAGTGTCTGCTGATCACAATTCGACAACAGATTATGAAAGAAGGGATAACGCTTGAAACACACGGATTCTTCCTGATGTAAGAGGTGAGTTTCCGCTTTGTTTTGGTTGTTTTGGCATCGACATCATCCTAGTGCGCAATGTTCTGTCATTCTTAAAAATACAGTAAAAATGGTGAGAAACGCTGGAAGCGAAGGGCTTTACCGATCAGGAAATGGCTGGCAGTGAATGAGTTAAGAGGAGTTTGTTATTAAGATGTGTATTAACTACAAGATAAACCAAACTTCTTTTGTATTTTGGTGCTTTATATTTCTAGTTGACCTCGGTTAAAGAACAAGCTTTGGAATAAATTTATTCTAGATGCATCTTGTCTCATGCTGAGATCATTCACTTATCCTGATACTCAACATGCTGGTAAGTACATTAGCCCTCCTGTTTAAGTTGCCATGGTGATAAGTGATTATGTCAAAGCAGCTTTATCCCAGAGCTGAAACTGAAGTAGCTGAGTCATTAATCCTGCTTCGTACAAAAGGCAGCTGCTTTGATTTCAATTCATTCACTTTCAGATTTACAATCATGACTGACTTCACTGGACTTGTGTTTGGCTTCCTGTTATAGCAAAAACAGTGTTAACAGAAGGACTCCTCACTAAATCAGTGGAACTCCCATAGCTGCTCTGCTAGCCAGTGACTAATTGTACCAATTGGTTTTAAAAAGAGAACTTAAACTTCAGGTCTCATGAGATCAATCATGCAGAAAAGGGCAAATCGTAAAATGCAAACACAGCTTGGATGCTTCCTCTTCCTCCACCAATTCTGCCTTTCCCGGGATCCACTGATTACCTCTTTCTTATTCATTTTCTATGTCCATTTCCTCGCACTTTTTTTTAAATTTTCTGAAAAATTTGAATATATATTTTTAAATCTATTTTATTTTTATCATCATTTTTTTGTTATTGTGAAGTGCTTTGTGATTTTTATCTTGAGAGGCATAAAAGATTGTTTATTCTTCTTCTAATGCAACAGTTGCTCCTGTTGAAAAACGTCCAATCCCAGT